TAGAAACCCTCTAAAGTCGACTCACCCCACCTTGGCGGCTTCTGGCCAATAAACCGTTCATCTGTCGACCCAGATTTATGTGACGTCACGCACCAAGACTAGCTAATTGTTGACGGTGTCTACATTCCTTGTCCCGTCCACGTCCCTGTCAAGCGAACAACAGTCTATTCGCTGCTCTCCCGTGCCCCTCTCTAGCGTGGCTTTTATGCAGCCAGTCCGTCTTGGTCGCTCACTCAAGCTTGGGGGTCGTTGTTGTTTCCCCCACGTAATGGTTTATCAGAAGATGCTGAAATTCTTCCGGTTGCTTCAGAAGCAGTTAGTTCCATGGCTATTTTTCATCCATGGACCGCCAGCTCGCCTTTCTATGGGGTTCATTCCAGCGTTTGCAGCCTTTCTCGGCCCAATACACATTTCAATGTTCCTGGGATACGAGCCCTGGACGCAGGCATAACAACAAGATCAGCTGGTTTCTATTGTGGCGGGTTTCCGAAGTAATATCTCCTATCCCACAAACCATGATTTATGGTCTGTATGATTTGGCATTATTATTTCCTTATTTTACGAGGTGTAGAAATCCCTGTTTCGTTCATCCCTTGCACGAAATGTGACACTGAGACAGGTCTTCATTCTGACCCTATGGCGAGGCATGAAATATTGTCCACCGGACAAGTTCATCATTGGTATGTTTGACCCTTAAAAATTTATAGATGACCTATGAGCTGTTGTTCAACGCCGATATAAGAGGAGTCTATTAAATTGCCGCCCACCCGAAGACGATAGACCCACCATAAGGAATAACAAAATCTGTGGTTGCATGAGCGCGAACCATGGATTCGTTTCCTCAGGCCAGGATAAAATTGTGAGGGTAACGGCAACATCAAACCCCCTTTGAAAATATATCCAAATACGGGTTGGCTTATCCCAGAAAGAAACAACCTAGTAGAAGCTTTCCGACCTCCAATCTAGTGATGATGAGCGAGGCGACTCTAAAGGTCTCTTTAACTATCGAGCTCTTTTTCCGAGAGGTCGAACAGCGTTAGGATCAAATCCAATGACTGAATTGCCCACTTCTGACTGAAGATGCTAGCTTCTTGCAGCTTCTTGCTCCTCACCTTTTTGGACGGGGTCGCCACAGGGATGCCCACAAATTTACGGCTTGCTAAGATCCACTAATGAGCTTCTTATGGTACAAGTCTAGACTTCCTGGCCAATACCAATCTCTCTTTTAAGATGAGGCGGTGGAAGCTCTAAATCATGGCGTTTTCGAGGATCCGATCCCCGGGATAATCAACCCGGATCATACATCTTTTTCTCTTTATACTTTTGCTCGGACGTTGCAGATATTGTAACCCATGCTACCCGGCACTGACCCCAGACGTTGCTGCCCGACTACATTCTCACCGAATCCATCAAGTGTGCCTTAGATCACCAATCGAGAGCTACTGAGCCCCACAGTCCGAGTACAAATATGATCTCTTCCGCTACGTCAAAGACTCCTCAGTGTTCATTTCTTCAAAATGCAGTCAGTTCTATAAATCGCCCATTTCCTTTACTTGCCTTCGCTTTCTTCCACTTTCCAGAGGTCTTTTGCGGCTCAAAATACCACCCAGGTACCCAAGTTTGGTGACATTGGTACATCTTTCTTCCGATTTCCATCTTCACACGTTAACTCTACCACCGCTCAGTACAATTAACCTTCCTTCTGTTTTCAGATTCAATCCTTTCGTCAATCTTCCAACGTTCTCATTCTCTACTTTCAGTATCGACCTTTTCCAAGCATAATTTCGACATATACCACAAATACTACGTTGGGTTTTCGATGTTAGCTCCACACGAGCAATACCAAACGTCCATTTTATCTCAACCACAGGCTTCACCTCACACAACAATCATGATGGTCACTCCGCTCACATTGGGTGGATTTATCCCCCACAACGGCATCCCTCCTTTGTATGCAACAACCTGGCACCCGCAACCTCACTACAGCTACGACATCGAAGACGACCAAACAGACGTCGACATTGAAATTACCGAAACTGCTTCAGAAAACAACATACCGACAGAAAACTCATCTATCCTCAGCGACAGCGAAATCGTTGAGGGCCAGGATCCCTATCTATTTTACGTTCTTCCTAAGCAAGAAGACCAGCATGAGATGGAAGATCCCTTCGTACTGATCATTGCTTACCGACGAGATGAACAACTTAGTCAGTCCACCATCCCCGACGGTGACCAGGTTAACCTGTGGACAAATGCCACGCCTCATCCCTACGAAAATCCGAACGGGGATGAGTGGTATAGTGATCATTCCGGCAGCATCCCCTCCAGCATGGTAAACTCTGTCATCATTGATCCAGATGCTGATGACGTCACCTGGGGAAGAGGGAGTTGCGTCGAGCCAGTGCCCATGACCTGTTCGTCCTTCAGCTCATCTCAAATGGCTTTGGGTGGTTGGAGTGAATCAACAAGCGTTTGCATCAAGTATGCGGGGTCACATCTCGCCGAGATGCTTGAGAACTATGCAGCACCGTATCCCGAAGCTATTAGCGTCACATAGTAAGGCGGGGATGGTTTTAAGCAAGGAGGAACATTTACCCCTATACAGAATGAAATATCTATCAACACCTCCCCTATCGAACCTCCCCGCTGGTTAACCTTTTAACAATTTTCCGTTATTTGCTTCCTTTACTGTATCTGTATATATATATATATATATATATTTTCCCATGTTCGACAATCAATGTATGGAACGGGACGGACAAAAATACGGCGTGATTTGAATACTTTTCCTTTCCTGTATGTTAGATACCTCTATTGTCAATTATTGCCTCTTTTGATCTTTAAGCCTTGTAACAAACCTAGTTACGGATGGGGAAAGCAATTTCATTGGGGAGTTAGTTTCATATTTATTACCGGGGTATTGATTTAAGTGTTTTCATTTCAACTTTACGGTAATTAGTGTATTGAGCTAGTCCCAATAGGCAACTAGCATCCATTGTGTGTAATTAATTTTTATCACAATATTTGAACGGTCTGGGCATGGGCGAGCTCTATTAGAAGGTGTTAGGGTAATGCTACAGCAGCCCTAACACGTGATCCACACCCACATTATGTTGGGCGTATGTGGCCCGGGCTGCCGCCCCGCCGCACGTGATATAGCGTATATTAGATAGCTAGCTAGGCCTCCCAATATGAGAGATTCAACCATCCCACACATTAGATAAGAGCCGATAGGCTAACTAACGTAATCCAACCACCGAGCGGCGGATTCTCATGTATAAAACCATTCCTAATAATTAGTATTATTACGAAAAAGGTCGACAATCAACGATCAACCAAAGAACATATCCTTGACCTCATAAAGCGTTGTTTGCTCTGCCTCCGACAGTTCCTTCTGAATTTGACCCAAAGATTCAACAAATTAACAGTCGAATACGTGCTATACGGACGAATTGAACTGAACTGCCGGGAATTCTAGCGAGAGTGTCAGCAAAGGAAGACAAGAAGATTCTCCTGAACCGCCCAGAGGTTGGGGAAACATGAAATCGCGAATTTAGGATCCTTGATCAGAACCAGCAGATCTGGGATCTAATCGACGGCACTCCTGCCAGACTTCCGCAATTATGGAGAACGTTCTGAAGGCGTAGGAACCCGATCCACCACCATCATAGAGAGAGAATCCGATCTTTCGACTGAGCAGTATAAGCGTTATCGAAATGCTAGCGATCACTTCCGGCACGAATTCGCTGCATACACCGCTGATATGAACTCGATTACGAAAGTTTCGATGTGGATCTCGGAGCACGCTGCTGAAAGGCACAAGAATATATTGCACACCAGATAAATCACTACACCAGCAGCGCGAAGCTCTGAAAGCGAAGCTGGGCAGTGACACCAAGGCATTCTACAAGGTAGCAAATAATAAGCAGGACAACAACAAGGATCAATCAAGGAAATATATTCTCGACCTTGATAAAAAAATCGTGTTTTTCGCAGTGGTTTTTGCAAAGCACAATGTTTATTTAGTTAAACCCCTGAGTGGGCCAGATCAAATCTATGATTGAAATGTTGCTATTTCAAGGATGTTTCTTTCTAGAACTCTGGTTCTGGTTGGGAACTTGAATGGGTCTGGTGCAAAAATTAGAATTAACTACTATTTATTATCTAGTAATGCCTTGTCATCAATGACAGCTTGTCAGCCCATAACCATGGATCTAGAGGTGTTTAACTCAATGGGCCTCTGCTAAACCTGCCACTGTTATGAGTAATTCTAGTAAGCCTGCCAGAAGCCTGGATCATCTCCCATCCGTGGGATGAAGGGTTATTGAATCGAGGATCAGAAGAGGAGCAGATATTCTGGATACTCCGCATTTGCAGCTGTTTTGGGTGAATAGATGGTACATGTAATCTCATTTTGAGCCATGGTAGATAACTACAGCTGTCATCCCTGATTGCGCAAGAACCAGTACATCGAAGTCTCCTCCGACCTCAGTCATCCAAGGCTTTTTTTTTTTTTTTTTGGTCTTCAATTCTTGCCAACGATATCATCTTCAGTGGGAGACTTCGCCTCCGCTTGCTTGTCTGTCTTCCCATATACCTCTCTTTAACTTTCGGACCGTCATTCCTTATTTGGACCGCCTTCTTTTCCACTTCGATACCGGTGTTCTAGCCTGCCCCCACAATTCCCCAAAGATTGCTTCACTGCAACACCGCTCAACCGCAGTGTGCTGCTCAACCCCTCATACTCCTTGTGCAAATTCGTCCTGGGACAGAGCCTTTCTTCAATGACTAACAGAGAGCATTTTCGAGGTTCCCCGTCAATCACCTCCCTTCCTGGCCGTGTCTTTTTCATTATAAAGCATGCCGATAGCTTTGTCCGCTAAACATCACCATCCTCGACTTTATGGATAACTAAATGACGTCAACTTTTTTTATGATATCTAGCGCTCAGCCTGTTTAGAAACTTGCTGACCAGGCATCTACGAGACCACCATTCCACCATGGCGGATAAGAATCCTCCTGGTTCTCCGAGGCGGAACTTACTCCTCAGACAACTTGTCGAAGCCTCTTCTGGACCTTTGAACTCGTTTGCATCCGATTACAATCTTCCCAAAGTATCAGTAGTGAATAACCGGTTCCCTGAAGCTAAAGATCGAGAGCTTACCGTGTCCACCCGGCTAGGTCAATCCTCTTCAGACGAATACTCCACACCCCGCTCTCCTCAACCTACACCTTCTCGACAGTTCCCGCAATCGCAGAGGCCAGCAGATGAGGCAAAAGGGTCGAGCTTACCACAGCCTATTGACAGCTATACGTGCAGTTCAGTGGATAAGGAACAGCAGATAAACAATGTGGAGGATCTCGGAAACAGTTCTCCCAAGAGAAAATTTGTTCCTGAACCTATTGAGACCAGTTCACGATCATCCCGTCACCGCCACCCTCCTTCCAAGTCTACGGGCCGGGTAGCCCCGCAGTTGCTGGAAACTACGTACGACCGCCGCCGCCGCCGCCAAAAAGTACAAGGAACCAATCCCGGGAATCTTTTCGAGAATCCTCCCGATAATGGCGCTGGGGATGGTGAAACGAAATTATCTCCTGGGAATCACATGCATAGTCATATCAATATCCCCATACGTTCAGGAGTATCACCATCAAGCTCAGAGTCGCCTAGGAGATTCTCCCCGCAGTTAATTGACACTGCAACCCGCTCAGTGCGTCAGAAGTGCCTTGCCCGGGGCAGAGCGGAGTGTCATGATCGTCGACAAGCCTCCCCATCTTTAGCATCCCAGCAAAAATTGTCCGCCCCGGAGAGCACAGAATCCCGATTTTCATATGCTAATATTTTGCGTCGACAAGAGGCAAAAAAGCACTCGTTTCTAGCTCCAGGTCTTTCAGCAATACCGTCAATTAGCAGTGAGGGGTCCGAGAAATCCCGGACTCATTCGCCCCCAACGTCTCCTTCTACTCTCTCCAATAACAACGGCAACAAGTATTACAAGGAGAGGCGCTTGTTATTTGAGAGCTGTGATGACAGGTACTCCGGCTATCTACGATCCCTAGCTGAACGTTCGGTAAAGCAGATGCTAAGGGATCAAGCTCTTGCCGCTTTCCCCAACGAACAAGTGTATCATCCAGTTTCACATTTCGCCATAGGTCGAGAGGATGAAGATACCACTGATGACGATGATGCTCTAGAAATATCACTGCGTAACATGAAAATAGATTTTCTGAAGTTCCGTCGGGAATCCACTATTGACCTCGGCTGGGAACTCGATGAGATGAGAAACCACAAGGAGGAGTCTGAAATGAGAGCCCGGCAGTGGATGTTTGACTCTGGTCAGTCTCGGTTCTCAGCTGCTGCAATAGCGGCCAGACAAGCAGCAGAGAACGAAGTCATAAGAGCACATATAACCGATCATCAAGGCGGCGTTGACGTGTGGCAGAAAAGGTTGGGTTTAGACCAAATGAAGAGCCCACCATTGCTGGGAGGGGACATCGTTTTCCCCTTGGGCATATCTCCCCAAACCACCAGATGCGACGTGGACCACCACCCCGTGCCCCACCATGACGACAATTGTACTGATCATGTGCAGCGCGAAGGGCTCTGGAACCCCGAGCTCAATGTCCATGATTCCGACGGAGGGGGGCTCTGGATGGGCCTATGTCGGCGAACCGGAGACGCTGGAAGACCCCCTTCATCCCTACCGCGAGCAGGAATCATTACACCCACCAGCACCATCGAAACGGCCCCCTTCCATTTCCAAATTCCCAACAGCCTCACTATAACCAAAGCCATAACCTACAAGATACCCCCAGACTCTCCCTCCCGGCTCCCCAGCACTCCACCCCCGTCCAGCCCGGACCTTGACAACGTCGACAAACTCCTCATCCTTGAACAAGGAATCAAGCGCGAATTCAACGACGCCTTCGTCACACAGATATACAACTATCTCTCTCTAGGCTACCCCTGCCTCGCCCGCGACTACGATGAGGAACTTAGTAAAATCTCCCGCATCCCCATCGAGGAGCTGCGGAAAGATGACAGACGTGCCAATGCGAAAGGGTACGTGGGTGCACCTGAGGGTGTTGGTGTGGATGAGAACGAAGTCGTGTCAGGCCAATGCATGCGCTGGACGGCACTGAGGCTGTATATCCATGAGTGGGCGAGGCAGCAGCCGTGGATGGCGATGGCGGATCGTTGTCGCCAGGCTGACCCGTCGGGTATGGATGCAATGGATGCGAGGGGGGCCGGAGCCAGAAGGGGCAGTTGGGCGATCTGATTTTTTCTTTTCTTTTCTTTTTTTTTTTTTTCCTCATTACTATTATTCGATCATTATATATTTATTAATAGCGATTTTATGGGATGGGAGCGGTGAATTTTGGAAATTGGACAACCTCTCTTTCTTTTGCATGTTCGTCTTTTTGGCGACGGTCTACGGGTTCATCTTCTAGACATTTTTGGTCTTGCAGCTTTCATTCCTCGTGGGAAACGGTGCTCCTTGGGATGAGATATATACCTCTTTATGCATTTCCAATAGTTCTGTTCGCCTGGAGTATATGGGCGCCTTCATTTTTGCTTATCTATTCTTGTCATATTTTTGCCCGTGTCCGTGGGTATATTTTGAAGGAATGGAGGACATATGGTTTCATTCAACTAACATTTCAAATTGAAATTGGTTCTGCCTGTTTCTTCTTTTGGTTACCTTGGACATATTTAAAGCACAAACCTATTAATACATCCCCCTTAGTGGATACACTAAATGTGATGTTCATTTTTTATTATTGCGTCATTTCAGTGTTTATCAGCAGGCCACAAACTGGCTAGTGATATCTCAAAATATGGATTTTCTTCCTCTCCCGGTCTTTCAGTGTTTTGTTATTCTATCTTCCAGGCTCCTTGCCATGTTTTTCCTTTTCATGGAGATTGTTATGGCTTCAATCTAGGCGCAGGTAAACAGGTGTTTGATTGCCAGCTAGGTAAGCTAATTCGACGAAATACTAAGATGCTCTACGAAACAAGGGCCTCTCCTTATATACCCCCTTTCCCACTATTAGCGGTTGCTATGCCGTTGCTAGGCAGCTCCTGTCGGACAATGCCAGTTTCCGCAGCCCAGTAGCCATACACCGTCATAGCGCCGTCACAGAGATGTGCTATCATTTATGGTACTCCAGAGACCACGAGTGCAGGCAGAGCCTGTAGAGTATGCACTTTTAGTGGTAGTTGAACGTTCTTTTATGCTGTTGAAGTATAGATAGGTAATGATTGTTGAAGAGATAGTTAGTCAGCATAAGCTACTGATTGTATGAGATTTCACAGTTTTTAAAGTAATTTTTTCCTTCATTTATGACTATCAATTGCTTTAAATTGCTATGATATATAAATAAAATGAAATTTAAATATGTTTCATAAATTAAATACCATGAATAAAATATTTAAAAAAATTTATTAATATTTTTATTTAGTATTTTTGGTATATAAATAAATAATAATTATAAAATTTAATAAAAATATAAAGATCTGATAATAAAATTAAAATTTATTAATTATATATAAAAATTTTAATATTATATATATGATTTTTAAATTTTTTTTTATTTATTTAAAATTTTTATTAATTAAAAATTTACTATTTTATTTATAATTTATTAAAATTAAATATAAAACTTTATCAATTATTATAAAAAATTAAAATTATAATTTTTTTTATAAATATTATTATTAATAAATTTTATATAAAAATTTTTAAACTATTTATAAATAATTTAAATTATATATAATATTATCAAAAAGTATAAAATCATATTTATTAAATGATATTTATAACTTTAATAAGATTAAATTTTAATTAAATATTATTAAAATAATTAAAATAATAATTAAATTTAAAAAAATTATTTATTTAAAATTTATATAATTTAAAGGTTAAAATTAAATAATTATTATTATTAAAATTAATATTATTGATTATATTATTTATTTAATAATTATTTTTAAAAAAATTATTAATTTTTTTAATATAAAATAAAAAGATTTATATATAAATAAATTAAAAATAATAAAAATGATTTAATAAATAATAAATTAAACTTATTTAATTAAAAAAAATTAATAAAAAAATTTTACTTTATATAAAAAATAAATATTAACTTTTGATTTTACTATGAAAATAATAATATTATTTTATATATTATTATAAATATTTTATCTTCTATAATATTTAAATATTGATTATTTTTTATCTTTGAAAAAAATATATAAATAGTAGATAAAAATAAATATAATTTAAATAAATTTATTTATATATTAATATTTTAAATATACACTTTCACTTCTTCAAAAACTTCTAAAACTTTCTAATCTTTTAAGTCATTGTCATATTACATATATATACTAATTAAATAGAAAATTTAAAAAAAAAAATATCAGAAAATACATTAAATACTATATACAAAGTTTTATTTAATCTCACTTATTAGACTTTAAATCAGCTGATTAAAAATTATCAAATGATTATGCACAATATAGTTTTTTTGAAAAAGAAAGTCAAATAATTAAGAGCTACAAATGTCAAACAAAAAAGAAAATATGAAAGAAAATATACATATATAATTCAGAAAGAGACTTCGAGACTTAAAGAGAAAATAAATCATGTACAAAGTGTGAATGAATGAGAAAAAGAAGCAATTGAGACTACAAAGTCTCAATCATGAAAAAAAACAACATCAGTGTAGTATATGTGAAATTACTGAACATACTGCCTGTACATGCTCTAGATGTACAGGAAATTTATAATATATTTAATTTTATTTTCTTGATAGTTGAAGCTTGCAGACATCTGCCCTCAAAAAAGTAGTCTATTTGCTTGTGTGTTCCACTCATTTGTGGATTACATTATATATAAAAGATTATATAGAAGAAAAATAACCATAAGCAGCTTGAAAGATCATTTAAAAGATAAATCAAAATGAGAAGATCTGAGGATAATTACCATATTCAGTAGTTATAACAACTTCGATTTGCCAAGTAAACTAATCTTTTACTCCATAGTAGTAAGAGAGGATGATATCTATCCTACTGTATAAATTGCCCTGGAAAGAGTGATGCACAATGATACAGCCAAGCTTACTAGCGCAGGAAATGAGTGGCCAGAACTTTTGATCCACATCTCCATAATCATGATAACAAGCAGAGGGAGAGGGAAAAGTAGGTGTTGATTAACACCAGTTGTGGAGCTGTAGCGGTGGGGAAGATTTGTGGATAAGCAACGGTAAACCACATGCCTTTTACCGAAGGAGGGAATTCGTTACATGTTTAAAAAAAAATAGCCCTGTTTCCTGTTCTATCTCTATTATGTCCATCTTCCGGCGACCTAGAAGTGGACACAGCAGTAGATGCCAACGGGGATATCTAGCACTCGGAAGGACGAAAACAAAATCTGAGAGCGAAAAAGAGCATAAAGGTCAACCAAAACGCCGGTCATGAATAAAGAAAAGTATTAATGTCATCTCACACCAAACTAACCCTACCCCACCGGGTCATACCAACTCATTTGAAACCCGGAAATGAGCCATCATCATCATCATCATCATCGCCATCGTCATGATAATATCTGTCCTCCTCCCCACCCCTTTCATTTCCCCAGGTCCACCGCTGCCCTCCATGCTCCTCTCCATGCTGCTCTCCATACTCATCCTCTTCACTCCCGTCCTCAGGCACAAATCCATTTATATCACCTTGCCTCTCCTCTTCCTGTTGTTGTTGTTGTTGCTGTTGCTGTTGCGGACCATCACCTTCAGCAGTCTCACCACCGGCTTCACCAGCTGACAAATCCGTACTACGGCGCACATGAGCGTGCACTATTCCCGGAAAAATCCGTTGCTCAGGAAAACTGTCAGATGAGAGATGTGGGGCAGGATGGAAACGGGAAGGAGAAACAAGGCCTTGTGTTTGTGCTTTCGTCATTGATGTGGGGGTTTGAGTGGGAGTTTGGTTCAAGGCAAAGGTGTTAGATAGGGATGCCGAACGTCTTAGATTCATGCCTTGTTTAGACGATGTTGCTGCTGTTGAGGGTTGAGGTTGTGTTTGTGGCTGCATCTGCGATTGCGGTTGCATATTATTCAAGTGCTGGGATTGGGAATAGGGATCTGCGGTGGGGTGGGAGGATGGAAATCGAGCGAGGTTCCTTGGGAAGTTCGGGGATGAGGGATTTGTTTGCTTGATCGGCATGGCTGGGTGTGGGAGGGAGGAATCAGGTAGTTGGCCTATCACAACGTTCTGTCAGTGAGTGTCTGGGAAGACTCTATGACATGGGTATCCAACTGGGTTGATTTACCTAGCGGCAAGGAGGATGAAAGGGAAAGTCTGTGTTGTGGTTGGGATGTTGGTCGCATTCCCGGAGTGGCCGCTGAAACTGAGGCGTATCTTTCAATTCTAGGAAAAGATGTGTTATTAGTGATCATTTGAATCCGGGATTACCTACGCAATACTAAATAGAGATAAAAGGCAATAACTTACAGGGATAACTCTCCCAGCAAGGTCTCGTGCCTGAACTGCTCACGAATATCCGGTACATTACTCTTCACAATATTGTTCCCCTCCACTCCAGGTAAATGGCAGGTTGGGCCTAGCCACCTTTGCTTGAGGGAGAGCTCAAAGCCACACTGGTCAACTGAATGTTTTGCCAATTCACACATGTCCACGGCGCTAAATTTGTAAATCTGAGCAGCAACCGAATATTCCTCAATCAGCGGTTCCTTGGTAAAAGCAAACTGTAATGGATCATCGGTCGATAGAGAAACATTCAAACCCCTCCTGAAAAAGCTGGCGCAAGGATTTTTGTCGTATGTCAAGAACAAAGCGTTGTTGCTCAATGGCGACATGGCAATGCCTATTTGTTCCAGGTAGTATAAATATTGAAGCAACGGAACTTTGCGTAAAAGGATTCCGTGGCTTATTCCGTAGCAGCAGAGCACTGCAGCGGCCAAATGATCTGGATCACCTGCTTCACCACAATGGGGACGAAACACAAAAGTATTGAATCCGCGGTGTTTTCGCCAGTTATTCAGCGACGCCATATTAGCAAACATGAAATATATCCAATAACTGTATGGTGGGTTTTGCTTAGTATTCCATTGTTTCGGAATGGGGAACTTGCGGTACAATCGACGCTCAGCCTTGCTTTCATCATCGACGCTATCAAACCCAACCACACGCTGTAAGAAGATGTGCAGTTTCGGATGGCTCGACGGGTCTCTAGTCACCTCGAATAGAGGTTGAAAAACATTTTTGATAACTTCCTCAAAGTTTTCCATCATACCACTAGACTTATAAACATCATAGAGTCGGGGCACTTGAATAAGCCAACGGATATTAGGAGAAAAGAGCTTGTTGTCGACCACCCAAGCGGCCAACTTCTCCCATTCCTCTGGCGATCTGCCGTAGATAGAAATGCGCCACTCAGCCATCTGGTATTTACTAGACTCCAAATCAGAGATTACTTCTTTCGTGATCTCTGCAAGATATCGGCCCTTGATGAAGTTGTCTGTTTTGAGAAAGATTTCTCGCAGTCGTGACTCGCCAACAGGGTTGTATTTTAGATTGAACTTGTCAAAGCGATGGAAGGAGTCTTTATGTGCCTATTATATATGGATATGATGATTATTCAATTGGGCCTTGATTGTATAGAATGAAGATATGCAATATATAAAAGGAAACTTACATGCATATCAAGAGTATCAATGCTTAGATCGTAGGCAGTCAGATTAATACTTTCGAAAACCTCCTTCAATGTCAGGTGCTTTCCGTCTCTAAACAGAACAACCTCATCAGGAGATTTCTTGATTTTGCTCTTGATGAAACGCAACAGATGTTTCTGATTCATGCAAGCAGAGTGGTGGACGTGAGTATCGACTTTCCTAACGTTGTAAAAATCCCTGTGGGGCACTTTTTTACTATCCGCCATTTCCCGGTACTCATTTAGGAGGACATGAAGCTGGAATTTTCCTTCCAAATAACTCAGCCGTTTGAAGGCAAAGCTCTTCGTTGGGCCGTCAGTCGACACTTCAGTTATCGTATCCAGGTCCATGTAGAAATCTCGCAGGGACGGAACATGGACAATGGGCTGCTTCAGCTTGCAAGCTTCTTCAGTCTCATATACTTGATAGACGCTGTTCTCATCGAGTTCAAATGTCATTTGCGACGCCTCTGGTAACGGCAACAGATCTTCCATGTCAAAGTCTTCCCCGATATCCTCCCCCAGCTTCCGCTTCTTGCGAAAAAGAAAAGGATGCATAGAGTCTCCTGAATAATTGGTTTGTGCTCCGCGCTGTGACCCACTCATAATCATACTATTCGACAGGCTTCCTGTCCCTGGAGGCTCCCTATCCTCATCCCATGACGGTTCGGGAGGTGGAGGGTATATAAACCAGCCTGGTTCGTCCCTTGGATTATCCGAGGTTCTCTGCAATGACAGCCGGATATACCTCTGCCTCATATCTAGAAGACGTTGGATCTTCCGACAAATAATGCCTAGTTCTGTTGTAATCGCATCTTCACTGGTCGTAAATGCACCCATACCTTGACCCGGAGCAACTCCAGGGCCAGCACCAGGTGCCCCCTCACTAGCAGCGGTATGTAGTTTGTTTTCAACGAGCATTTGGGGTGCCAAAGCATGACTCCGGACTGATTGGTCAGCTGCCGTAAAACTGTATGTTGGTTTACGCTGCGGTGCTATTACGGGACTGTACCCAGAGCGAGTTTCAGCAACTAAAGGGCGGCTGAGTGCCGGTAGTCCGTAGCTTTGACTGCTCACGCGGGATCCTCTGCTTGCTGGCCTGCTAAGAAATTCGCCCTCTCCACTGGACATCATTGGGCCGGTCGTTGATCGAATAGAAAGTACAGGGCTCTGGGGGAATTCACCATCCGCATATTTCGATTCAAATTGATGTCTCTGGTAGAATAACTTCGCCTCAGCGTGACTTAGAGATTTTTCGTAGGCATAGTCATACGTGGCTGTCCTCCGTTGTCTGTCGCGAGGAAGCATGGTTTGTGCCACATTGCCAAACAACGAGCTCTCATCGCGTGTTCCGTCCACCTCGTCACTTAACTTCTTGTTCTCAGTTGAATTAAGACCTACATTGGGAGCAGGCCTCCTCATAGAATCGCTGGTGGGATTAAATCCGTCGTCAACAGACTGGACAACTTGATGATCGTTTGAATCGCGTTCAGGTGGCTTTGAATAGGAAGAGAGTATCGATTGTGGTCTCTGTGGTTGAGCCATGCAATAGACCTGCAACAGCTATGTCAGTCTCAAATCACGTTGACTTATTAGTCAGGGAACATATGGCAGATCCTCTTGAAAATCATGATGGCGAGAATGTGGAGAAAAGCTCACCTGCAGTCGATTGAGCTAAGTTGAAAAGTGGAGAAGCACTGAAAAAGACCGTACGAGGCCAAACTTCAAGGAACGTTGATAACAAACCCAGACTGTGAGAGAATTGGAGGGAGCCAAAGTAAACAAAAACGATGTGCGAGAGACTTAGAGAGAGGAGGAGAGATACAGAAGGGTGCTTTGGGTGAAGGACGACGCGCGAGAGAGAGAGTTAGGTGTTCTGTTCTATGGAGCTGATGATGACAATCCTCTAACGTTAGTTAGCTACCAGTGAGCTATTTTAACATTATAAATCTAAAACTCCTCAACTTTCAGTAAACTAATAGCTACTTACTAATAATCAGTTATAAATTTTGTAAGATTTTAATACAATAATGATTAGTTTTTTACAAGTTTATTTTTCTCTACTATTAAGTAGTTATAAAAATCTTATTATTTAAATAAGTGTAGAAGTTTTCTACTTCAAATTTAAAGAAAGAAACGGGGGAAAAAAGAGAAAAAACTAACTAGAAAACAGGTTGCAATTTTGTCACTCTTTACTCTTCTTTCTTTTTTCTCTCGCTTTGGTCTAACAGACATTTCTCAGGTCCTAAGCAACCGCTGAAGCCGCATAGTCTGCTCTCCCCAATCTCAGAATCCCCTCCTCACCTTAGTTCAGCTTGCTGATAACATGGCAGGGGATCTAATGAGCTGTTTTCATGTTTACTGACCAACAAACTCATCAAAACCTCTGTCTCCTCCGGATGTCTTCAAAGACGCATATTTTCAGCTCATAGATCTTGCATTCTCCAGCTCCCAGCGATCTTAACGTCACCTGTCTCATCTTCTCCACCCCCTCTCTTTTTTATCCTCTCTCACCACCTCGCCAGCCTCCTGGTTATTGCCTTCCTTCGCCAAGGATAGTTTATGCCGGTAGCCACCGCCTATCCGGTTCCGCCTATCCGGTTAGGCCTATGGTCTTAGAGGATTTTTTCCTCAACCTTCTGCACGCTTTAACACACCTCTCAACTAACAGTCCTGTGAGCCATGGCTTCTCTGATGGTATTTTGCACTTCTGATGAGTTTATGAGTGTATATATTTCTATTTTAATATTATATCACTATATATTGCAGAAAAATAATCTAATTATTTACTGAATCAATATCTATATAATGTAATTAATTAACAGCTGTAATATTTTATTTCCTTTTACTATAGCTATATAAATATAATATGATTGAGAAATAATATTGTTCATTCTTATTTAGATGTTTTATTAAGATACTGCAATTTACAAAGAAGTTGATATTTATTTTATTATTATATTTATTTTATTATTATATAATCAATAATATATTAAATTATAATAAATAATAAGTATTTTTTAAATAAAAAATAAATAAGTAACTCTTATAATAATAATAATAATAATAATAATAATAATAATAATAATAATAATAATAATAATAATTTATTAATTTATTTTATATATTTATATATTGATTTATTGATTTTTATTTTTATAATATTATAAAATAATATAATTAAATTAATATTTTACTATAAAAAATTTTTATATATTAAAATATTTAAAAATTTAATATTTTTAAATTATTTTAAATATTTTAAATTTTAAAAAACTTTTATAATTATAAAATTAAATAAATAAAATTAAATATTTTTGAATAAAATTATATAAATTTTTAAAAAAAAATTTAAAAAAAATTATTAAAATTATTAAAATTTATAAATATAAAATAATTATTATTTCAGTCATAAAAAAGTAATATCAGAATATATTTACTTTAAATAAAAAGAAAAAGTAAAAATATATAAAATTTAAAAAAAATAATATTATAGCTTCAATCTAAATACAGATAAATTATTATTAATTATTAACTAAATAAGCTAATTCAATAAATACTAAAGTGATTTATGAAATAAAGATCTAAGAAATAATTTTCTTATTTACTTTTCTTTTACTAGCAGTTGCTATGCAGTTGCTAAGTAGTCTTTGTGAGATAGTTATTTGCATAGTGATTGCAAAATAGTTATTATTATTATTTTCAGACAATATCAATTTCTATAGCTTAGTCGCTAATATTATCATAGTGCTGTTATAAATAACTCAATATAAAGAAAGTCTTACTATCTTCAATTTATCTGTTGAATATATAATTAATGAATTATATAAAATTGAATTTTTTATTTTATAATTATTATTATATACTTTATAAAAATATAATAACTGCAAAATTATTAAATGTAGAAGAAGAAAATATTTAAATTCTAATATAATTTAATTTTTAATAAAATTATTTTTTCTGTTATTTATACTTACAATTCAAGTGAAAATAATTTATATATATTAAATTATATCTGATTTAATTGAGTATTCAACTTAGTTAAAAGTTATATTAACTAAATTAATATAACTTAAGTTAATTTTAATTCTATTTAAATAATTTCAATATATTTAAAAATTAATTATCTATTTCATTAATCAATTGTCAACTAAAATAATCTCTATATTGATTACTATAATAATTAGTTAAAAGTTAAAAAGTTGAGTTAATTAAAGTGAAATAATACTATAAGTTCTTTGAGCAGATAAGTTGTGTAGTAACAGATTAAATTAAATCAGTCAATTCTCAAGTCATAGTATTCATCAGTGTCAAGAGTGCTTATAAGAGTATTTTTTTTACATGAAAAGAGAAAAAAAATATAAAAATAATAAAAATATTTTATAGAGTACTAAAGGTCAATTAATATAAAAAAGTTTAAATATTAAACTAGCTAGTCTATATTTTGATTAAACTCTTTTTTAATAATTTTATTCAAATCTAACTCATTATTTTTATTATATGTTTTCTCAATCATATTATTAAAATAAAGTCTAATAATGAAGCTACTATAGCTACTACTATAGAAAATTTAAAAAATGATATTTTTCAATCTGAATGAGCTACTGCTAAAGCATATAACATCTCATAAAGCACATTGAAGAGCAGAAAAAATGATTTCATTCAACAAATAATTGCTTATCAACATTGATAAAAGTTGAGTTTATAGCAAGAGATCTTTTTAATTTGATAAATAAAAGAGCAATATTTGCAAAAATTTTCACTCTATTATATATATATATATATATAAGAAATATTGACTTAAATTCTATGAATGAATTAAGATCTCACTCAATTGAATAAGAATTGAATAAGAAAGTTTTTAAAATAATATTCTATGACAAGATCTGTAATTGATCAAAAGATTAAATCTTAAAAAATGAAGAATACTCAATAAAAAACACTTTAGCGATTTTATAACTACTTTTCTGAGATACAACAGACTTATGAAATAATCATTAAAAATATATGAAATATAAATGAGTATGATATTGCTTTAGAAGTATATATAAATATCAGAATATTTACTGAGTAAAGAAAAGATAAAATCTATATTAAATCTTCTTTTAATCATAAGTGAGTTTTAATTTTTTAAGTTATTAGTGCAGATGAGCACTATATAAACTCTCTAGTTATTTTTTTAAAATTAAAATATATAATTTATCTGGTTTGAAGATGTGAATATATTTAATTAAATCTATATAATATCAAATAATGAATAAATATCTAATAATATATATCTCAACTAGTTATGTATGATTTTTCTACTTCAAATATTTAAAAAAGGTTAGTATAAATTATTAGTACTGAATGATTATGACAGTCATATTATTACTAAATTTTTATAAGAATATTATATAAATTTGATTTATTTAATATTTCTGTAATAGTATAGAATAAACTTTATAACTTTCTTAACAGCATAAGACTGAGGTGAACGGTAATTGCAACTGTCTATACATGATAATCACAAACTGTCTAGATATCAGTATAGCAATCAACCTCACAATTACTTCATACACAAATGACATATAAATGTAGCAATCATATAATAACTATGCTAAGAAAAAAACTATATAAACAGAGTATTTTCTAAACTCATCTTTTAGAAATTATCTTAATACTTGCTCAGATAGCTTATTTAGTTGACAATTGAACATCTGTTCATCTGCATTTAGATTAAAGCTGTAATATAATATTAAAATCAATAACTTTTCTGTTCTTTTTAAAGTAGATTTTTTAGATAAAAAACCTCTGAAAATCTTTATTAACTTTTGTTTTAAACCTCTGAGAATACTGCTAAGATATTAGAAGCAGTTAAAGAGTCTAATCATCTATGAAGATTAGACTAGAATATAATAACTCTAACTAAGAGAAATATAAAATCAAGAAATTCTATATTAAAAGAATAATTTTTTATATCAATTGAAGAGAATTTAGATTGAATATATCAAGAGATTGCTAATTTCATAAATGAGGCAATAAATATTTTAGAAAAAGTTAAAGTAAAATGAGATGAGCAGAAAAAGCAAATGAGTGAATTTGATTAACAAGTGAACAGCTGATAGAAAAATAAAATATATTACAGCAGACTATGAACTCTTTAGCCTTTTAAATCAGACTGATGAACACTCAACAAATATAATAATCAGTTAAACTTGATAACTCCAAATATCTCATCAATAAAAAAGAATTAATATTTAAAAATTAACTCTTCTGAATGAAATACAAACTAGCTGTCAATGTAAATCACTTTCAATTGAGAAAAGCTGTATTGTTTATATTGAAAACTAAATCAAAAGAGAAGCTGTCAGACACTTAGCTTTAAGAATAAAAAAAGATTATTCTAGAAAGTTTAAAATAGCTAAGAAAATATTCAAATATCTATAAAAAATATATAAAAATATCAATAAAATTAAGAATGCAAAGATGAAATATTGATAACTGATAATGAGAAATAAAGATGATTATTATATATTTATGACTAAGTTCTTATACCTGGTAAG